CTCGGCCTCGCTCCCGGGTGGCACTATTCATCTGACCAATCATCAAGAAGAGAGGGAGCAAAAAAGGGGGAGAAGAAAGGATCCTCAGTTGGTCGGCCGCCATTCGGGCCTCCCGGCCTGCTGCGGCGGCGCGGCCGGTCGAGGCCGGGCTCGGCCCGGCCCGCGACGGCTGGCCGCCGACGAGTGCGCTCGCGCTGCTCGTCAAAATGGCGGCGGTGGCGATTGCGGCGACGGTCGTTCAGTCGTACAGAGCTCAGGCGTCGGTCGTCTGTCGTCTGTTGTCGCATTCGCACACGCGCGCGCGCCGCGCGACCCGCGTCGCTCCGCGAGGGCATGAGCCTTCCGCGATTCGATCCCGCAGCCAAAAGCTGCTCGCTCGCGGCCGACTCTACCATCGCGGCCGCAGCTGTTGAGCTCTTCAGAAGACTGGTGCCTCATATGCTGCCTCCCTGCGGATGCTGCCGGCGAGCCTGGCGGTCCGCTGTACTACAAGGAAGTGCTGACTCGATTCTACCTCGAATTCTTCTACCCCCACGACTCGGAACGCGAATGTGACAGGACCATCGGGTCCTTCAGCCACCAAAGTGAGATCACCCGAGAGCAGATGAGCCTGCCTCTGGCCTCGCCTCCCTCTCCTTCACCCTTCAGGCATTCGTGGCATCCTATGGGTCGTCCAGAGTATCGACCTCTGGCGAGTCAGCCAGCCCCACTTTGAGGGCGCCATGAAGTACAGCGATCGCCACCTCGCTGGCCTCTCCGCAGGCCCCCCCGACCGCGTCGAACTCATCGGCGCGGGCTCTCTCGGCTACGGGACCGGCCCCAGCTTCGGCTGAGGGCTGACAAGCTGCCGAGCCCAAATCACTGTGAGAGGCGTGATTTCTTGTTGGTTTTCTTACATCTCTCTCTCCCCAATCATCTGAGGGGCTTCTACGCGAGCGGCCGTAAGCCGCGAGGAAATTCTTTCCCGACGGGGACGCCACCACCCTCGCCCAGGGATCTACAATGCTGTTTTATGGTCCGACAGTTTCTCTACCGGCCTCGATAGACTAAAAAGAAAGAAAGAAAGAAAACAGACACGCCAAACGAGGGATGGGACGAGGACAGGGTCCCCACCTGCACGAGCAGGATTTTGGAAGGACGATCAGGGGGACAGGTGGGGCTCTCCTGCTCCTGACAAGGGACACGACAGGCTCGCAGCGCGGTGCGCGGTGGACTCCCACATCCACTGGCGGTCGAAGCACTGATGTAATTCTTTTTGTTTGCACATCAGCGCGGCAAAGCAAGAGCGGCAAGCCAAGGCTGATGAACGCCCAAGAGATGTACCGCAAGATGCTCGCCCAGCAGTCGCAGTCGTCCGACGCGCCGCCCTTCAAAGTCTCCGCCCCGGCCCTCTCGATCCCCGACGACACCACCCTGGTCGTCTTTGGCGGTGCGCTCCTGCCCTCTCCGCGGTCTGCTCAGTGACAGCTATTCCGTCCCCTGTGTGTGCGGCGCAGGCACCAACTGGGACAACCTCGGCAAGGGCAAGGAGGCGCACACCAAGTCGGCGCCCAACCTGATGGGGCCGTGCCGGCTGGTGCTGCCCGGCGTCAAGGTGGCCTTCGTCGCGACCTCCTCCTGCTCCTCCCACTGCATCGCCCTCTCCGCCAGCGGAGCCGCCTATGCCTGGGGCCGCAACCAGTGCGGCCAGCTCGGGCTGGGCGACACGCTCACGCGCGCCGGCCCGACCGAGGTGACCGCGCTGCAGGGCACGCCCCTCTCCGCCGCGGCGACCGGGAAGCACCACACCCTCTGGCTCGGCGCGGAGGGCGACCTCTTCGCGAGTGGCTCCTCCAAGGAGGGCTGCGTCGGACCGTCGGCTGACAAGAGGCGCGAGATGGAGGCGACGCCCGTCGCCGTGCCGGGCCTGGCCGCCGGCGCGGCGTACGTGGCGGCGGGCGGCGCCCACAACCTGGTCATAGACCGCGAGGGCACCCTGTGGGCGTTCGGCTCGTCCGAGTGCGGCGTGCTGGGCAACGGGACGGACGGGCAGTACAACAAGTCGGACTCGTCGATCAAGCTGGCGTACGCGACCGAGGCGGCTCCGCTCAAGGTGCCAAAGCTGGCGGGGCGAAAGATGGTCCACGCCGCTTGCGGGCCGC